CTACAACTTGAATGTTACCCAACTCTGTTACAGCACTAATTACCATGGTGACAGACATCTGGTCCAAGTCATTGATTTTATTTGTTTGGAGAAGAAGAAGAAACTGAGCAAAAACAGTATCTTTTCATTCTGAGAAGGTAAACATACATAAGATGTATGACAAGCACCTCTTTGTTTTGGGGCTCATTTTCCATCAAGTACTTTAGCGTCCCGACGTGATCGCCATGCTCTCGGGCCGTGAGCTCGGGAAGACCGAGGTTGCCTCTGGTCACGTCTCCCTGATGTATGTCAACACCTGTCACAGTAGATAAAGAGGTTTGTTTCTCCTGAAAGCACCCTGAAACTGTATTCTAGCGTCCTGGTGTTCCAGGCAGGAGACATGCAGTTTACAGGAAATTCACGTTATGCCGGGAAATCCAAAGGAAAGCTGCGATACGACATATAAAATGCACGTGCTTAAGAACGAAATTAATAAATAGATGCAGTGTAACACATATTTAGAGTTGCGTTTCTACGACTGTCTCATATGAAACAAGAGTTCCACGATCTCATACCTTCGCCGAATGATGTTAACCCTTGCGGTTGAAGAATTATAAAATTTTAATCATTGATTTTGCAAATAAGAGCCTCATTTGCATGGATTATATCAGTTGATCATATTCAATGACAGTCTTATCTTAACAAAAAGGCTATTATAGCACTTCCTCATAAATCATGATTTGAATAAATTATGTTTATTGATGTTCGCCTTCACTTAACTTCCAAATGTGGCAAGTATGAAATTCCCAGCAGTTACAACTATGAAATTATAAAAAATTGCCATTAATTATGCAAATTAGGTCTTCATTTACATAATCTGTATCCTCATATTTTTTTTCGTTCTCAATTACATGTCACAAGTGTTTCATAGTCCTATTATCGAACAAAGCAGATTTATAGAATTTCCTCATTATTTATGCAAATTACCTCCTGATTTGCCTGAGAAGCATCACTTCAGCCACACACATACCAAAAATCATGACAATCCGTCAACCGGTTCTTGAGTTATCATCCTTCGAATTTTTTTCAACAAATGCTCCTGCAGTTCCAGAACAAACTCATATCACTTCTTCCCTATCCCAAGAGCTATCTACCAACCAAAATTCGTGACCCTAGCATGTCCAGATCGTGAGATATAAAAACCGAAAGTTCTGCTGCAGTACCAACAAAAGCCGCCAGGGGCCCCAGAATCGAATCATTTCTAGGTCTCATCAAGACCTACCCACCTACCAAGTTTCATGACAATGCATATTAAGCTTCTTGAGTTATGCTGTTCACAGACAGACAGACAGACAGACTAACAGTATATTTGCTGCATTTAGCCAACATGGGCATGAGGGTGCATACAAAGATCATGTTTAATTAATAAGGACCAGATCACAGGCACGCCTCACATTCTGAAGTGTGATCGATTACTACCATTTTGATGGAGGTCTCTAAGACGAGACTCGTCCCCTCGTTGTGCTGCGTTTCTTGCTTGTCCATTACACTCTTGGATAAGGAGGACCCAAACGTCATAGAAGATTCCAGATTCCTGGATTCATACATAAACGTAAATATTAAATCTTCGCCTTGCATTTTGAGTTAAGGTAATACTCAGAAGAGTTTGTCGTCAGTGCTGATGGTTCTATTTGACTTTGCTAACATTTAGATTTTGATTATGCTGCACCAATTTAATTTGTTTTTGTTTTTTTCAGAAAAGTCAGCGAAAGGACACAAACAGACCCAGGCATCCTGTGATCTTGTAAATATTGTTAAAGTAAATTTACAAGGATCTCTTTATTTAGAATGAATTTCACCTCTCTAGTTGTTTTTTCACATTTCGAAATATTTGCAAATATTTGTAACATTTTCCAAAGGACAGATTTGGGATATTGCCCCCGTAGGTGCTAATCCGACCCTACTGTCTGCTTCTGTATATTTTTAGATTTCACTGCAGCTGGACACTAGTGGGTCATATATGGTTAACCATTCATGCATGACTCCCAGGCAAACTATCAAGTAATTCACAGGGACGTTTGGATTACTTTCATCCCAGACCACTGACCCAGTTTCTAATGTTACAAATAATTGTGAATAATGGTAAACAATGGTAGAATTAACTAACCCGTCCATGCCACTTATCACGAGCAATCTCCACCGGTGTTTTGTTATTCCTTCTCAAAAGAATGTCAGTCGTTCGCAGATGCTCCTTCACGGCCTCTACGTCGCCACATTCAACGGCTTCGAACAAGTCTGCAAAGGAGAACGGCTATCATAAGATGTGGTATCAAAGCTAAATCAAAAGGCGAAAATCCGCCATTCAGTAGAAAATGGTCGTTGCCATGACAACTAGTTACGAGTGGGCCAAACACTTTTTCTGTAAAGAAGAGACATTTTCTGTATCTGTATAGCCGGTATAACCGCCGAACACACCAGCTGACACACACACTTTCTCTGTAGGTTTGGGCAAAGACCCTATTACCAAACAAAGTTTAAGAAAATTCAATTATATTCTTACCCTGACCACCATTATCCTGGCGACCGCCCCTACCTAGCGGTCATTAACCTAGCGGTTATTAACTTGGCCGCGAGAGCCTGTGTAAACACAGCCTAGACCACCGCATGCTTGGTTTCTACCGACATCGGCTTCTAAACTCTGAGCAATCAAGTGCGTTTATTTATGACGCATGGTCTATTTTGGAGAGTTATAATTATGTTATCTAAATCCAGTATGGTTTAATAAATGTTCATCCTCGGTATAGAATATTGTTACTATAAGTATTTCTTTATCAAATGTTCTTTTTGTACTTGCAGTTACGGGCAGGAGTTTGTTATAAAACAATTAATCATTCGTGGCTGCTAGCACTGTTTGTATAGTCATAGAACAGTTACATTGTTTACATACAATTATATTCTCCTATCGCATTGCTTCGTACAATAGTGCAACACATACAACGATACATCTGTACAGGCCACTCTTTCAAATTTATAGTAAACACAGCAATAATACATTTGGAATGTCTTTGAGGGATACATGTAGTAGTAACGGATTATACAATTTGTATTTGTGAAAAATATTCCGCTTACCTGCTGGTCTGATGGGTTCTGGGGGCTGCTCAACCACCCTTGATACCCGTTCTGGACAATGTACATTGCATTGTGTTCAGCAGAGTCAAACACGGTGATTAATTAGACCTAACGACTCATGCAACTCTTTAACACAACAAGCAAACAAACGAACGAACGAACAAACTAACGAACTTGTTATACTGTTGTCTTCGTTTATTTCTGTTATTTTGTCGAATATACTACATACATGTACTACATGTGGTCGTATTACATGTAGGTTTTTGTACCCACGTAGGTCCACTTTCACTTTTGGATATTTTGCATGCGCTGTAACCCTTTGGGAACAATTACCATGGCAAAACTAATAAGGTGAGTAAGAAGACTCCCAATTTTGTCCATAGAATTAGAAACTATACTACAAATCCACATGCAGCTTTGCACACTGGTGTGAGCTAAGTGTTTTGTTTATAGTGATGTAATCTTATACAAAGTCACCTATCATCGAAATTGGTAACAAAAGAAAACGCCCGCCATTTTGCCGCAAGGGATTTGGGTTCCGGTACCTGCAAACATTTGGAAACAACAGGCACTATGATACCGGCACTAGGCCGTATAACTGAGTAAGAATACACAGCATTATGACAAGGATTTACTATTTAGTGTACTGTGTTCGGGTATTTGTATGACCATGGAGGTACCTCCATGGTATGACACATAATCCATTACGAACCTTCCCTGACTTGAGAGTGCTCGTGTTGACGGAGGTAATACTCAATGTCTCTCTCCGGGGCTTCCTCTTGCCCAAATAAGGTCCTGGTCACAGCCCCCCACACGCCTCTTAGCAGGTTCATGGTTTCTTCTCGGTTTCTGCGTTGGTTTGTCAGTGTTCCGGAACTCTTCAGTGGGCTGATTCTTGAAATAATGCTCGTCTACGACCTCTTGCCAATCCGAGTAGACTGAAGTATACTGGTCTGGTATATGGGTGTCTTTCAGAAAAGCTCCTACCTTCAGTTCGGACAGTACATACCAAACAACAGTCGCTGTAGACTAGTAGCTGTAGTGCTTGAGTTACCATGTTGTTTACCATGCAGTCGCGTTCACACCGAACAATTGATGCTGCTTTTGCCAGGTACCACACAGATATATATGTTACACGTTGCTTTGAACCATGACCTTTGGTTGTCATGTTGCGCAACACCACCGAAACTGAGCTTTGTTACATGGCCCTATAGTGTACATTTACGCAGGGCGGGGCAAGAGAGACTGGCTGTTGTCTAAAACGGTCCTCCGAGTCGGTAGTCTGTACCTCACAGCAGTAAGAAATCCAGTCTCTGGCGTGTCTAGAGGTACCTGTTAGACATTTACACTTATAAAGAGTTATTCATCGCCGGCGAGAAGGTGAGATTGGCCCTTTTTTAAAAAATATTTGTAACCTGATCTACGGGCTACGGTCTGAACAGGTGGCTGGGAGGGGGGGGAGCGAAAATTGTTCTACATGGGACAAGAATAGACTGTGTAACCAAGTGTAACGCAAACTTTGCCGTAGTGGCCCCTCCCTACCTTTTCGGGGGGGGGGGGCTGAATGTTGGGCGGACGGCAACCATGAAAGGGGGGGGGGGGCTGAATGTTGGGCGGGCGGCAAACATAAAGCGATTTAATCATGCTAGGACAAACAAACAAACAAATGCTTTAAGGAAAGAAACCTGAGGCATAATGTCTTTAGTTATAGCTGCGTGAGGGAATGCCATTTGACCATGAGGGCGTCTTTTGTATTGGAACGTTTTCACAGATTTTAACCTTTTCATCCCCAGATGGCGTCCGGTTCTAGATTCTCCATTGATACCTACAACATAAATGACCTTGACATTGATCTTGAGAAACATCTTGATCATTTCACGTTCGAACCTATCATGGACACCGTCTCAATCGACACGAAGTACCTGTACCGTGACGTTACAAGCGTTAACTTTGACCCCCTCCTGGCCAAAGTTGAACAGGATGGCGTCGAAAGGATCCGACATTTCTATCTACCGGGAGAAAAGGTTACTTTGATAGACGAATACAGCGAGTCGCGTTGTGGCATAGAGGAGGACGGGAAGACGTACACTGATCTTGCCAGCCAAATGACTAAACTCGCGACTGTAGAAAACGTCTACGCTCCCTATGCCCGTTGCGCCAATGATGTAAAGTATCTCACCGACGCTCTGATCAATGGCGTACATGGTAACGTCAAAGTCTACTTCCCAAATGCAGAATGCAAAGAAGGCATCAAGATGGAAGATTTGTTTCCAGAGTTGAGCAAAAATGTAACCATTTTCTTGCCTCCGGTGTGGGAGTTCGCAATCAAAAATCATCGGAGGTACATGCATGTCATGGATGAGAAGGTGGCAAGTCAAGCTCTACGCGCGAAGTCGGGAAAACCAATCGCACTAATGCATTTTCAAGGCGGTTATGCAAGCCATGATGTCGGCGTGACATCACTGTTCTCTGACACCACCGCGTCAACAAACTTGTTTTTCCAAGACCACGCATACAAGTTTCTTCACGTAGAGGAGACACTTAAATCTATTAATGAAATAAAGACTCAAAGAAGTCAAGAGGATCCAAGATCAACGGAACCTAATATTGTCATCGGCGTATTAGATTCAGGTACATTCAAATAAATGGCTCAATTTGCTCTATTTTCATTTTACTGTGTGAAGGTATGTATTTATGCTTCGTTTCTTTGGAGTACGGTCAACGGCCATCATAAGATTGTTTATAATGTCCTTGATCAGATAATTATTTTTAAACATTTACTCTCGCTATATTTTTATTCCACAACAGGTTTAATGGGTAACCACCAGGCGTTTGGTCCTACTGGTCGTATCCTGGCCCTTAAAAATTTTATTCCAACGCCAACGGGTGGGGAGGAACCAATGGATTGTGGAGAAAGTGATCTGTACGCTGATCGTAATGGACACGGCACGTTCTGTGTATCCATAGCAGCTGGAGAGCGATTCAAAGCCAGGTAAATGTAATTGTTTTTGATATCTTTAAAATATAACCTCATATACCACAAATTTTGTAAAAAGGCTAGATACTATATAGGTATGGCACATAGGCTTACGGCAAGTACACTTTATGGTCATATACTTTCTGTGGACTAATAGAAGTATTATCTTGTGAATTGCCTGTTTTGAAAAAGGTCTTCATATTGTGCTCAAGTTCGACTCTGACTGAATTGTACCTATCTCAGCTGCGGACCACCCGATAACAGACAGCCTTTTGCTCAAGACCGATGGCTGACGGGAGTTGCACCGTTTGCAAAGATCGTCCTCGGCAAAGTAGTGGCACCCGACAATGACGGCACCGTAAAGCCCGAATGGGTGGCCAACGGGCTCAGATGGATTCTGGACCTGGACGGGACGGACAAAAAAGTGGACATCATTTTTTTGTCTTTAGGTTTCCCCACCTACCATGCGGACTTACGGAATGTCATCTCTGAAGCTAACATTAAAGGTATTTTATCTTTAGTCTTGGGATCACCCAAAGTGTATTCAGAAGCTCTTACATCGTACAACCCCTTAAGAAGTCGCCAAGAGGCGATCAGCTTGAGAAAGGACATCAGTCTCACATCGCATTTTAACTAATGTTTTCTCCATATTTTGTTTCAAAATCAAATCAACTTCTTTGCTCAAATACTGTAACTAGTACAATGTATATGTATGGCAAAGAAGAAGCAACAAGGGTAGATACATGAACTATACTAAAATATCATTCTAACAGAATATTTATATAATATATTCTTTTCTTCTGTTCATGCAATTAGCCCTCGGGCATGAATTTGAAATAAAACTATTATTATTCTAACAGATCTAAAGCTAATCCATAATGATACTAGCTATACATTAAAGTTAATCTATTGAATGTTTTCTTGAGGAGAATATTATTACAATTCTGTAAATCAAGAGATATGTCAGTTACATGTATTTACAATATGGTGTCTCTTTCGTGGTGATTTAGATATGAGTTTTTTAACGTACACTGATATCTGAGTAGGGCATGAAAGGAAAATATTTAATATGTCTGGTTTTAGAATCGGGCAATGTAACATTAGTATTGGAAGCTATGATTGGCTGCATCTTTTATTTATTACCATATTGCAGGTAAGATCATCATCTGTGCCGCCAGTAACGATGGCCGCAGGCAGCAGACCAACATCGCATTTCCGGCCCGTTTTGGCGACGTCATCTGTGTTGGCAGCCACAACTCGAACGGACAACCGTCTGCGTCATCACCGACCGGCCGGGAGATTGACTTTATGGCGCCTGGTAATAATTGTGACCACAAACTATAGTTAACAATCATAGCGAGATTAGATACGTGGTGTGTATATGTGTATGTGTGTGTGTGTGTGTGGGGGGGTATTACTCAGAAAATCTAGCTTGGCCCCTCTAAGAACAGTTTGCCCGTCTCTTACCTGTCAGCTGTTTGGGAACAGTGCATTCTGTTTGGAAATGAGAGCTTAAGAGCTTACATGAAACGCTTACCCATAAGTGATGCAGTGTCTCGAACATATCAACTCAACTGTCAAGTATTGTATCGCCCTGCCAAAACCAGTTAAGATGTTCGGGCACCCAGCTATTCTTTTTGAGAGGTTGTCTTGAAAATATGGCATTTGTGTTATGTCAACCGGTAATTTCGATATAGATATGTCTAAATGCAATGTCCGATTTCCCGTTTTTAATATGTAAATATGGGGTATAACTAAATGAAAAAGTGAAAACTAGACAAGAGAGACAGGAGGTTTTTTTAACTATTTTCTTTTTTTCTTCTTTTTTAACCTTTCGGCGTGACTGAGACATAGACAAAGGAAGGGGGATAGAAAAAGGATGTGCCAAGCTACCCACGACAGGTTACTGTCCAAGTGCTCCCACCAACCCACTCCTGCCAACTTGACACATCAAAATTTCTACCTTAACAGGTGAGGACGTCTGGGGAGCATCCTCCGCCTATGAAGACGCTGCGGTTCCCATGTCAGGAACATCTGTGGCAACACCTTTTGTGGCTGGCATTGCAGCGATCGTACTGAAGGCGGCCCATCACATCGGTAAGCCGTCACTGAAGTCATGGGGGTAAAATGTGATTTTTTAACTCCACGCTTAAATTAAACCTGTTTCAAATCCATCTCCTCAACTTCCATTCTGCTTTATTCCAGTACCAAACTGAGAAAGTGTAAGGCATGTCTGTTTCTAGGTAAAAACCCTGATGCTTAAAAGCTCTTATATTTATATTTATGTTTATGACCAGGTGGTGACGACCTACGCCAAAAGGTATCTAACACGACTGTAATGCGTGAGGTCCTCCGCAAGATGGCATCCATGCCGGGTCGGCACGACGAAACTATGGGCTATGGCAACCTTAATCCCTACCGAGTGTTTCGTTATGGAGAGGATTACTTCAGGAAGATTGTTAAGGAAATCTACGAGTAGATTCTCCATAGTAGTATAAACAGAACTGATGTCTTAGTCGGTCGAAGATGAGATATAGACAAGACATAGGCCTGGCAGTTGTATGAATCAGAATTTTCATTTTCATTGGGCATTAAGGTATACTTACAATACATTATTTGTTAGATATGACAGAACACATGCTATATAGAGCCTTATGAAATGATGATGAAATCATTGCAATTATCCTCTTGGTCTATGTGGCGTGAATCTGTGGGGCAATTTTACAGGAACCAATTCTTGTAGTTAAAAAGTTCAAACTTGTACCAACACAAGGAAGAAACCATAAATTTTCGGTTGATCCCGTAAACCTTTGTCAGATGTAGGATGCAATTGCTGACTCTCCGGAAGTTGGAAGTGTGATGACGTCAGGAGTGCATCAAAAGTGGCGGGAAGACGGAATCTACTACTGTCACGGTTCAGAAAGGGTTGATGGGCCATGATGTAAATCGGCTCCTTTAGCACATTCAGTGTTACAGTACCATTTTTTTTATTCCACATAATCCACAATTTAAGTTACATAGATAAGTACAAATGTAGTTGGTATCAAAATTTTCTTGCACGTGGACTTGTATTTAGGCCATGTTGATTTGATTATATGGATGACATCCGCGCGCGCATGAATTTTTGGCCGTTTCAAAAAAAGAAAAGTTTTCAACCAAACTGTAAATCGTGCAAAACAGTTGCTAAATGAGCAAAAATATACCATAAGTTGCAAGGAAAACATTTAGAAACGATACCAATGTCGTAGAATGCCAAAATCAAAGGAAAAAAGACAAAAATGTAAAGAAATGAATTCGAAGAGTAGATTGTTCGCCATAACATATTCTGTGTCATTTGTTCAACCTTCATGACCACGTAGATTTCATAGTGAAAGCAACTTTTTTTTTTTGCAAAACTTTTTTTTTATTCGCACGCACGCATCAGTTTTGGGGTTCCCAGAGGATGTCATCCATATAATCAAATCAACATGGCCTTACTAGTATTCATAATATTAATTTAAGACATCTCACCACCATTCAAAAACCACCCCGTAAAGGTGTTTTCCACACGACACTTTTGCCATCTGCCCAAACTCGTGCGACCACTGGCACTTCCCCACCTCCAGTTTTGCCTCGCTGCTCTCTCTCACCGAATATCCCCTTTTTCTCAGGTCCTGAAGCATCACCTTAAACACTTCTTTTTCCTCAACTTCGACCTCCCACGGTCCAAGGTTTACCCCGGCGTGCCCTTCTTTACAGTCGTGTGTTGCTACGTGAATATCCACATTAAATAACTTCCTTCCCTTCTCCAAGTCTTCGGACGACATTTTTAAGTACCTTGCTTGTTTGTGCGGTCTCGAGTATCCGACGAGTTCCTTTCTGTACAAGCAGATCAACACTGTGGAAGACTTGAGCGGGTGTTCTGTCTCCTTGGCAAGTCGGATCAGTGTTTCAACAGTCTGGAAGTAGTTCGGAAACTGCCCGAGAAAATGCTGCCTGCGACTTTCCCCTATGATCGGCGGCGTCTCCCGTAGTTTGCTCGCGAGCGGTTCGATCCCGAAGTACTGCGCCTCGAGATACACCTGCTTTGAGACGTCCAAAGGCGGGAGTTGGCCTCGTCTTAAGAAGTTAAGGACGTGGCCGAAGTAGGTTCCGTCGCTGTCGATGAAGTAACAACCTGAAGCGGGAGTAAAGAGACTCTTTTTACTCAACCAAGTCTACTATTCAGCCGACGTTTTGGTGACCATCTGTCAACTTCCTCAGGGCAATTCTGACTCATTCACATTACACTGCAGCACAGCTTTCAGTGTTCACTGCTATAGATGCATTCCATATCTATACATAATTATGCATGTCCCTGAGGAAGGTAACGGGCAGTCACTGAAACGTCGGCTGAATAAAAGACTTGGTTGTGTAAAAAGAGTCTCTTTACTCAGTGACTTACCAACCTGATGAAACTACATGTATTCACGAACCTGAAGCATCTTTGACGACGTTGTGGCGCCCGCTGAACATGGCGGCCAGCATAGAGTCCTCGTACTTACGCAGGGTGGAGAGCGACGTGGTGAAGTGGACGCCGCCAACGTTCAGGTCGATGACCTTTGGGAACTGAGGTGGGAGACAAAATATGAAGAGTTGCATAAGAAAGCGAGAGAGGGGAAGTAAAACTGGTGGGAGACAAAATATACCGAGTTGCATAAGAGAGTGAGGTAGGGGAAGTAAGAAGATGCAATGGCACTGTCTGCAACAACAGCTAGCCTGGTTACCAAACCTATTATAGCTCCCGAGTCCTACATCCTCTCCGCAAATAGCATTTTTGCGGAGAGGATGTAGGACCCGGGAGCTATAATAGGTTTGGTAACCAGGCTAACAACAGCACCACTTGCATCCAAACAGGAATATCAAGATACCTGACAAAGTATGATTTTGGGGTTTGGCTTATTTTTGGCATGTTGTAGGCTTTTTATCTGGCTTTCTTTTTACTGGTATCTTTTTAATGCCAGCCCAGTACAAAAAAGAAAGCCGGACGAAATGAGCATAAAAATGTGCCCAAAATAAGCCAAAGTCCAAACTTCTGCTTGGAGAGTAAACCTTACCTATGCTTTTAGAAACTGTTAAATACAAAGTACAAGACTTTCCAGCAACAAACACCAACACATCAGCAGCTACAGTACTAAGAAAGGGACCAAATATCACGTGCCTGTTGTCTAAAGTAAAGATTTAATTCCATGTTGTACGCTGTTTAAACTGCCATGAGTTACAGACAAAAACATAGGAGTTAAATTGTCCTTCAAAAATAACACTCACTGTAGATGCTGACTCCACATTCTGCTCCTCATTTGCAGATTTTCTGACGAACTGCCCGACCAAACGTTTTGGCAAGGAGGACATGGTGGAGCATGTTGATATTCCAAACACAGAAAATATCTCCCCTTTCACCACTTGTACCACACGGTGCACTGAATAGCCAGCATACTCCGTGTCTGCATAGCTCAAATACTAGACATTATTTTTGTAGCGTATGAAACAGGCCTGGGCGTGACACTTTGCCCTCACAGTGGCATGTGACTGTGGCTCAGGACACTTCTGGTTTCACAGGTCAGGTTACAGGGTTGACCTGGTTCTGACTGACAGTTTGTATTCTCAGGTCACCACAACTGTACTATTCTGGTGAGGAGTAAAGCATCTTACATACATGTTGCTCAAACCAATACATTACATGTACGGTCCATGCAACCTGAAAGAACTACACTTGACCTTAAAGTAAGTTGTATTGATATTTATTACTTAGTATAATTCTAAAAGAAGTATGTATTTTCATGTTGTAAACGATTTTTTGTGGTTTGCAATACCAAATATCACCTTAATCCATTATATTAAGGCCTCCTTAAGTTATGCTGACCACAAGTATGCAGAAACACAGACACACACAAATGCACACGCACACATACGCATACACACATACACACACACACACATGCATACACACACACAAACATACAGACACACACACATATACACACACACATGTACATTTCAAACGAAAGAAGATACAGATTGAACCTGAACTAAGGTAGGGTTCGTTTACCTACATGTAGTTATTTTGTCTGACTGTGTGTGTGTGTGTGTGTATGTGTGTATGTTTGAGTCTATTGTCAGTATAATTTGAGTTTATTTCTATCACCATTAACGTTACACACTAAAGTCAAATTTTCATACTTTAGTCAGAGTGTATCAAAACTGTCTTTACCTGTTCGGCGGCCATGAGTAAAGGACTCCTGCGCCCCAGGTGACAGGACAGGTATAACGGTACGGCAGGTGAGAATGAGAATACCCCATCAAAACAAAACACACCTACCACTGACTTCCGGCTATTGTAAATAAAAGGTCAAAGGTTAGTCAGACCAAACCATTATACCTATGTTCAGTTTTTTGAAGAAGCTTTAATATAATTTACATGATTCGGCTAGTTTAGCATCTTATAACTTTAAAACAATACAAGTATATGTCGAAGGTTTATATAAAGATATAATTTGCGTGGTTATTCTTTTTATTATCTGTCATTAATCGAACAACTCCTCGCTATGAAAAAGTCGTCTCTTCCAAGACGTGTGCTCCCTGGAGGTCTGCTGGTGATTTTTTGTCTCCAGGGCTTCGCTGTTCCGCTATTTTCTTAAACATCAGCAAGGTGAGTAGAGTGTACTACTTATACGTGATCGGAAAACGTGAAAATATTACTTGACTGGAGGTGTTTAGGCCGATGATCACATGCTGTGCTGTGCAAGTGGTGGGGAGGGGGGCACACTGCGTCCGACGTCCGCCAGTAGAGTTTAGAAACTACTACTACATGTACTAGTCTTATCTTATATAAATACTGATTACAATTATAAAGATATAAGTCCCCCGGTATCTCAGACTAGAAGTAGGCAAGGAAGCAAGTGACTTTTCAGAACGAGATATAACTGGGGTACTACTAGGTAAGGTTAAATGTACATAAGTCATGAAAGTGCTTCAACTGATATCACCAAGTGTACACTTGTGTACCTAAGAAAGAGATACAATTGACTCTGAACTTTCAGAACGAAGTGTAAACCAGCTCTAAGAGACCACGTTGGTATTCTCAAGGTATATATATTAGACGTTAAACAAGGACAACAACAACAACATCAACTGTTAGAGGTTTAAAGATACTAGCATAGCATTCCTGATTAAAATGTTATAGGCGTTATATAACATTAACGTTATATGTAACACATCATACATCATATAACATTAACATTATATGATGTATATATCGTGGGACATGGTGTTTACTGTATTTCCTGTATAAACCTGTTGGCTCAGACCGGGGCATGAAGCCGTTCAACTTCCAGTGGAACCGTGTAGCAGACGTCAAGATGTACCTGGATGGAGGTCAGAGGTCAGAGGCCGTGACCTGCTGCTGTACCCGGGTGTTTCTCAAGTAAGTTTGAACTTTACAGTCTTCACCTATTTGCATATCAATCAATAGTTGGTGCTTATAAACCTGCATTTTCCCTGCAAGTCTCTAGTGTCACTGTCTCACTGACGAAAGGTAGCGGATGCTACCTGAAATGTCTGATGGTTTCTAAATTGTAAATCATATCCAGTTGCTTGAGTACTAGTAACTGTTTTTTTGGCTTATCTTATTACCTGGATGTCTAACCTTTACCAAAGGATTTAATACTTGATGCGATCTGTTTTTTTTAGTGATTTCTGGCAGTACAAGTTGGGCCTTGAAGGCAAACCAGATGAAAGCTCCAGTGAAACTGACAGTGAAGATGAAAGTGGCGAAAGGACTGATAGTGAGAACAACTACTGTGAAGAAGAAAGTGAAGAAGTCTCACATATTTTTCACGGTTGTAAAGAAGATCATGACAGACATGTTGCCGGCTGCACCAGTAGCGAAGTCTGCGGATCAAGATGTTGTACAGATCCTAACATCAACAGAATAAATTCTTCTCAGAACAATAATGGTAAAGAAACTGACACTGTGAGGTGCTCTACTGACAGTAGAGGGGCGTGTGACGTAGGAAATAGTAGGCAGCAAAGTTTTAATGACACGATTCCAATTCAGTCAGAGACAAAAGAAGACAAATCAATTTACAGACGAGATGCTGCAGCATCCTTAGAGAACCCTGTTAGTGTGGAGAGAGGAGAGAGAGGAGAGAGTGAGGAGGAGACTGGTCCTGATGCTGCTGATGAGGAGACGGCCATGATGCTGGCCATGGGACTGCCCACCTGCTTTCATGGGGACGGAACAAGCACACAAAAGGTGGGAGAATATTACCTGTACCGGTAACTTATTAAATGATAAGTTTATTGCAAATTCCTGCCTGAAGGCTAATTACAAATTAAAAGTATATAAGAACACAGAAACAGTACAAAATAACTTCAAAATGCACATAATAAAAAAAAAAGCTATGTCTAAAGCTATGCTATGTCTTAAGCTATGTCTAAGAGTATGAAAATCACCAGCAGAATATTCTCTCATCAGCTTGTTTTAGAGGAAATATAATGCCTGTAGACATGCTATTGCTGTTGTAATATTGTTTTATTAATACTTTTACATCCCATTTTAGATGACAAACAAGCACTATGGCAACAAGAGCAGGTGGGAAAGATCAAGCCATTCAAAAAGTAAAAGGAACCACAAATACCACAACAGCTATGAGTATGCTGATGCCAACCACGTCGCTACGAAGGATGAAAATATCTACAACGATGAGTTGCAGTTGTCTGGGGGAGAAGTTCCGACTTCTGAAGTCGTGGCAGCCAGGGAGAACTCCTGTGCTGACCTACAGCTGCAGTGGGAAGACTATTGGACAAGTTATGGGGAATACCTTGTGTGGCAGAGTTGGTCTGAGAGGTATCCAGAATACGCAGGTAACCACGGTGGCAATGGTCACCAAGGCAATCCTGGAGAGACTAGTACTAGTTGCCAAGCAACAGATCTAGAGACAGATAGAGGGGAAACAGAGTTTACCGAAAAGAGTAAAACAGATTTCTCTCAGCAGAATGGTGAGATTACGTCCTCACAAAACAGCACTGCCCAAGAACATTGTAATGGTCATCACGTAGCAAGCACGGTACCAACTACTGGACATTGTCAGTCAAATGGTGATAGCAACAGTGGCAATATAACACTTCAGCAAAAATCAGTGGCCCTGCCTACAAGTAGTAGTGCTGACTTGGTGCATCCAATAGCAGTAGGAGAAACAGGGGATACGGAGGCTGTATCGGAGGACCAAAGACTGTGGGAGGAGCACTGGTGGGGGGTTTACTACCAAACATATCAGCAGTTCCTGCACTGGACAGGGAAGGAGCAGCCTTCTGATTGGTGGGATCAAACAGGAGTGGACCAATCACAGGGAAGCAATCTTGGACCAGAAGTTCATAGTCAAGAAGTCTCCACGTTGGGAAATATCACCACTGATCAATATTACAATCCATCATCAGAATCAAAGTCCTCAAGTCAAAAAGAGGGTGATGTGTTGTTATGCAAGGGAACCAGAGAAATCAGCCAATCAGAATCTGTGCTTGACATACCTGACCAATCAAAGGAACAGGTCAGTAGCCAATCAGAATCTGTGCTTGACATACCTGACCAATCAAAGGAACAGGTCAGTAACCAATCAGAATCTGTGCCCGACATACCTGACCAATCAAAGGAACAGGTCAGTAGCCAATCAGAGAACTGCATTGAAAAGAACTTTGAAAAATCTGACCGATGGGAAAGGATATCGATAAAGGAGACTGTCACTTCTCCCCAGACAGAGTGTGCAGAGCCCAGTGATGGCCAAACGGGAGAAAAAAGGAAACAAGAATCGACTAAAACTGGACCAGAATCAGGTAATGATAAATAACATCTCAAATGTCACACTATTTATTGTTTATAACATTACAAGCATTTAGTCCCCTTTAAAATGCTTATGATTTCATAACTTAACCCTTGTCTTGCTGGCATTTTTTACACACTATTTTCAAATAATTTGATGTCTTAATCGGGTCATAGACCCTTGACTTTTTTTGCCCTGCGGTTACTTGTATGTAGGTACTTCCGCATTCATTGCGTTTTGCTGCAAATCATACATACCCCCAAGTCATACATATACAGGGAACTATATAGATGGTACTGTATGTGCAACCCACAAATATATGGGCTCCATAGGGCAAGGGTTAACAATGATCAAATGTGATTTCTGTGTTTCACAGATGTCCAGCCTACATCAAACCACAGGACAACAGTCAACTCTGTCACACCAGGTGGCAGTCACCATGGTAACACAGATGATGATGAGGACCCTCCAGAAGAGAGACGAGTCAAGATGAAAAGGAGGTATTGAACAGAAATAAATTCTAAAATTGAATTTAACCTGTAACGGTTGGTATGTTGGCAACAAATACAAAATTAATAGTTACTAGACTAGGTAACGCAAATGTTTGACTTTGCATATGGTCTGCTCTGTTAATTCTTACTCAAACACATTCTAATACCCAGTCTAAATCCCTCCTGCTATAAAATTGCAACATGATGTAACCAAACACTAGTTACCATGGTGATAGACCTATGGTTCAGGTTATTGACTTAATTTGTTTAGAGAAGAAGAAGAGGAAGAAGAACCAGAGCAAAAACAATGTTTTCCTTCGGTAAACATAAATTTGATACTTGTATCTTGTTGAGTATCTTGATTTTGTTTACATTTCTAGCCATGAGCTGGATGAAGAGGAAACACCAGCATCACAGGCAGAGGAGGAACGGGAAGAGGGAGAGGCGACTGACCCGACCTCAGAACAAGACCAGATGACCTCTGACCCGGCTGCCAGGATGGAGTCAGCCTTTGATGTCATCGGCCTAAAATTCGCCCGGCCGCCTGCAGCAAGGTAAAAGTTAGGTCTTGTAGATGTGGCAATGAGTAGGAAAGGCCTAGGCAAAAATGTTGTCTTTTCTGTTTCAGTCTTGAAAAAAATTAGGGTTGGTAGGTAGTGATTTTTTTGTTTCTTTTTTATTAAACTTTGGCAATCTCTAGTTATCCAAAATTTAATACAGTTTAACAAAGTAAAACTTGCATGAGGATACTTTCGTTTTTAATGTCAATGTTGAAAACCGATTGTACAATGTTTCATCACTCAGGTGTCAGATCATGGAGCTAGAAAAGGTTGATCAGCTCGAAAAATTAATGTCCCTTGCAGGGGTCCACACAAAAAAAAGACTAGGGTCGTCAGGTTTATCTAGGGTTGGTCGGGGAACAGGAAACACAACATTTTTTTTGATGGGCCAAATGTGGTTAATATCAAATACGACAAGACAGTTTATGCCTTTAAGTTAGTAACACTTAAAGAATGTGCTGCTACTAATACCTTTTTTGTGTGTCTCCTGACCAGGTTTAAAGACTTGCCGAGGTTCTCTCACGGTCACGTCAACTTCCACCAGAGAAAAGTCCGGAAGCGTACGAAGGTGCTGAGCGTCCACACACCGAGTCGCACACACATCAGGTGGGTCACGTGTTTTCAAGAGATTGGTACGCTATAGGGATTTTTTTTTAACACAACCAATCTTGTCTTACCTTGCTTACATTTCAGTGTCTATCAGACACCTTCCTCAGAGTTTCTGACGGCTACATATAGCGGCGAGAAGCAGAACTCCAGTCATAAGCTCTGATGAAGGAAGGTGTCTGATAGACACAGATACGTAAGCAAGGTAAGACAAGATTGGTTGTGTTAAAGAAAACCTTTATAGCGTACATTTGTAAACTCTACCAACCTGATGAAACTATTTTCAGAAGTAAGAGACTGGTAAATTTGTGAGAACTGATCTCATTACGTTAAGATTGAAATGATTATTAGAACACATGTATCAGACAGTGCTAGTCCTTTTATACATGCACATGTATGACATTTGGTGCAATGGAGAGTGGCCACACTAGTGTATCCCAACTACATCTGGGAGGGTTGGGGTGACTTGAAGGTGTTGACTGTCAGTTGTATTCAATGTCGTGAAAGTTCATCTGAGTTGGTAAATTACATTATGAAAAATTTAAACTGTTCTCCAACTCATAAATTTCACTCACCGGAGTTTTCCACAAATCACTCAGTCTTCCTCAGCTATCTGATCCAAATGCTGTGGACATGTGATTTTTCCCACGTGTGACGTCAGCAAAGGGTCAAAGGTTGTCTGAAGTCGATATCGCCCCCCGTCCCGGTTGAGCAATGGTTGAAGTGCCCTGATGTATATGGCCTCTTTTATGCCTCTCTAGAAGTAATCCTGTTTGGTATCCAAGATTTTGTATTATGTGTTGTGGCAGTGTGTGTGTCCTGTATCTGAAGTGTATTTAGTGATGTAATTAATATGTGTTTATGATGTCATTATGTCTGTGTGAGAGTTTTGTCAACAATGTGCATATTGAATAAGCAATGATATGTTATAATGTATACCTCACATGAATGTTGCTTATGATCCATCTTTCTGTCCAGGTTTGATGCAGACGGTGAGGTGAGCTTCTGTGAGATGAGTCCTGTGGTGGGGAGGGTCCGAGACTTCCTACAGGCTGTCACTAAAGGTGTCTTTGTTTGTTTGTTTCGAATAACTGGTAAACCATCTTGGGCGTAACACTCCAGTTTCGTACATGACAAGCTGTGTAAGACCAGACTGGGACCACTCAAACCGGGAAGGACCCCTACTCTTTTTCGACAAGTGCGGTGGGTTCTTTAACGTGCGTGGTGCGTGGGGTGATAATTTAGAATTGTTTTTTTTTAATCAGTATCTATGTAAACATGTCTATGTATGCCTAAAATGTTCTGTTCTGTGTTATATCTAGAAACAACAGCTGGGAGAAATCTCGAGGGCCCCTCTCAGAACTTAGATGTCCAACAACCGTCCACATCTCAGGCAGGGGAGGGTGACAAACATTTCTCAGGACAGTCAGGAGAGAAGGAAAGCAGACATCTGATGCCAGGTACACCAGTTGTGGCCAAATATAGGACATAGAAAAACACAGCACATTTTAGAATCTTAACCAAATCTTACAAAGCAGTTACGTAAAGTAACCAGATTTGATTACTCACTCTGATATTAAATATTATTGCACCCATGAGAATTCATTGTTTTTCCATAGTTTTTCATGTCCAATTTCTTGCCATATATAAGGTACACTCAGGACAGATTCAAGCTCCTCAGATTCGAGTGACAGCGAGAGTGAAGACAGTATCAGCAAGGAGACAGCGTCATCCTTAAATGTGCAAGCCAAGAAAGATGAAAGTGAAGGTGAAGAGACAGAAAGTGAGAGTGATTCTTCAGAAGAAACTGACACTTTCTCCTGCCAAGCAATGCCTCATGTACCCAGACCGGAAGCAGTGGAAACAGACAGTCCACTGTGCACTCTCAGTAGAGACTGTTCAACACTCCCAATAGACGCTCCAGCAGAAGGTACCACAGATTCAAATCTAGGTCAGTGTCAGAAATACCCATCTGCAGTCTGCATTTCGCAGAGAATTTTTCAATGTTGCAGAAGAAAAATTAAGCAACCTGCAAAATCAGGATAGGAGTTCAATGGTGTCTGTATAATTAGTTTAGGAGATTTGTGCTTACTGCTGACTTAAAGACATACTAGTTATGCTTGTATTTTTGTAAAAGAATACAGTCATGTATAAAAGAATACAGTCATGTTAATTGCATGTAAAATGTTTGCCAACATGCACTTTTGTATTGGTTTGAGTCAGGGCATAAAAGTGCATGTATATTTGCAGAAAGTATATTCAAATATATTGCAGAACAACAGTGACATTCTGCAATATTGCAGAGCACTGAAAAAAAGTGTTTCTACCACTACTGCAGGTCCACTAAAGAAACGGAGAAAGAAGAGAAGAAGAAGACCGATGACTCCTCCGCTGCCCATGCCCCCAGATGTTAAAGATGATCCTGAGATGATGAAGTACTGGGCCCAGAGATACAGGCTCTTCTCCAAGTTTGACCACGGCATCAAGATGGACAGAGGTACAGGCATCTCTTCTTCTTGTTTAAAGTTAAAACTTTTGTTCCAACACAAAAAATTCTCTCACCTAGAGCTTTCGACCAGTCACTCTGGTCTTCCTCTCAGTAGGCTGACCCATTGAAGCTTGTCACGTGGCTTCTTTGAAGTCTGACATCAACACTGGGTCAGTCTATTGAGGAAGACCAGAGTGACTGGTCGAAAGCTCTAGGTGAGAGAATTTTTTGTGTTGGACCAGAAGTTTTAACTTTAAACATGTAACTACCAAGTGAACACAGATGAACTTTCATGATAGCATCTCTTCTCCTTATTAGCATGGAATTCGAAGGTCATCTGAGTTGGTAAAATACATGACGAAAATTAAACTATAATTCTCCAACTCAACAATGAAAATGACTCTTAGTCACCAGTCTTCATCAGTCTTATTACCCAAGTGCTGTGGACAAGTCATGTGCTTGTGGGTCATAAAGCTGATGAAGACTGAGTGATTCAGTCGGAAATTTCTGGTGAGTTGTTTTTGTTGTTGAGTTGGAGAACAGTTTAATTTTCATCATCTCTTCTTCTTCCTTCATACTGCTTAGCCCAACAACAATTGGATTATTAGCAGCTGCACATGTGTTAAGTGACCGGTACAAATAAAACAAAGGGAAATGAAGGTAAGGGCACTAAGGAACATAAATAACTGATTTAGTGGGTGTAAAAGACAACATTAGTGAATTTAGTGTGTTACAAATATGTACACATAATATTATACAAGGTGTGTGGGCGACTCAATGCAGCAGGAACCTCGCCAGTTTAGTCATGGTAGAGATTTGTGTCCTTACATGTATGCTTAAAATGTGATTTGATCTGGTCTGGTCAAAAAATGTGGAAAGCAAATGTGTAAAAGGTTAACTTTCAATGATTTTATAGTTTTTGTGTTCCACTATATAGTAACAGTTACTGTATAATCATGTTTATTTGAGAGGGCTGTTTTAGACAGAGGTAAAACTGCCAGGTAGTGGTATAATTGTTGTGTGATCCTGCGTTTCAGAGGGCTGGTTTTCTGTGACACCTGAGAAGATTGCCCACCACATTGCTGAGAGGTGTCGTTGTGACCTGATCGTAGATGCCTTCTGTGGGGTGGGGGGCAACGCCATACAGTTTGCCTTCACGTGTGAGAGAGGTCAGCAGCTTCTGGTGCTTTGACTTTTTTTGCTTTGACGGAAGGATCGTTATTCAGTAGGCCAGGGACAATATTTTGTGGAGGATACTATATTTTACTTTATATGTTGAGGTGAGAGCTAAATGTGTTAACGGTAGTACATGTACATTGCAGTGCTTGTCTCAATATTTCTTGAACCTGACTGTTAGCATTCAAAATCATAAACACCAATGATGAGAACCACAAGTCTGGAGCTTTCTGCTATGCCCAATGCACAACATTGCCAAGGTCTGTTACACTGAAGTACTTGGCGTAACGGTTGTAACAAAGATTTTGTCCTCCACAATACTGATCATATGTGCAGGTTTCTCAATAAGGTCACGTCTGTAACCATAACTCTCGCGAGATTACGTTTTGAAGTGTTTGGTCATTAATTATCCTGATGAAGGCGACAGTGGCCATTTAAAATTTGATCTCTGTGTAATCCTTGTGTTGGAATTAAGTTCAACATTTTACTATGAATTGAGTATGATTACTAACAACACAGATGAACTTTCATGATAACCTGTACATGTCCATGTTTCTCCACAGTGATAGCTATCGACATAGACCCGGTGAAGCTGGAGTGTGCCCGACACAACGCTGCCATATACGGCGTGGCGGATCGTATAGAGTTCCTGCAGGGGGATTACCTACGGCTGTCGAGGGGGCTGAAGGCTGACGTGGTGTTCCTGAGCCCACCCTGGGGGGGTCCAGACTACCTCACCGCCGACGTCTTTGACATCAAGACTATGATGGTTCCTGATGGATATCCTTTTCATCTTTTTTTTTTTTATATTCTTCATATATTTACATTTCATGACTAAACACGATGACATGTACAGCACACTCAAGTTATATCAACTTATTTTATGCCACCACCAGCACAGAGGATAAATACAGGACAAGACAATACTCATTTTCACTTGAGTTAAGTGAGGAAAGTCGTGTTAAGTGCCTTTTCAAGGGCACAAGATCGGTGGCATGTCAGGCAAAAGGCACCTTTTGGTTCCGATTCGACCACTCTGCTGTTACCCACTGTTTCATCTGTTTGATGATACATCAGACATTTATTGTACTTCAAAATTAATGACAATGATAGCAAATGACTTTCTATTTCAGACATAATATAGATGTTACCATAAGTTAGATGAGAATAATGTAGATGCAAGTTTCAAAGTAACCAACCTATAGATTGCAAACTACTACATGTAGTAAGTAGAAGATTTTGGGATAATCATACTTTTATTGGGACTCTGCTTTCCAACCCAATCTGTTGATGAATTCAGCAAAAAACAAAACAAGAAGCTCTGTTGCATGCTGAGATTTTTTTCATGACTCCTTAACACATTCTCACCTTTGAGATATTTGAGAAGACCAAGCACATAACTGACAACATCGCTTACTTTGTGCCCAGAAATGCAGATGTAGAGCAGGTAACTTCATATTCTTCTGTACTATCGACTTCAATGTAAGTTCAAGCACTAACTTACAGTAGCTTTCCAGTGTTGTTTATATTTGTATTGTTTTTACTCTGTTTCTTCCTCTTCTTCTTCTCCAAACAAAGAAAGTCAGTGACCTGGACTAGACATTTGTCACCATGGTACAAATGTAACTAGCATTGTAGCAGACAGCCTGTGGTGTTGGGTTACGTTATGTAGAGCTATGGTGCCTGCTCACCATATACATGTATTATATATGAATCCGTTTGAGCAACAAGAAACAGAGCAGTTGTAGTTTGTTAGGCTAGACTAATTGTGAAGGTAAACATTATGCATTTGCTTTACAAATGTTACCTTTCTAGTAACAGACACGTGTTTCCTACTAAAACTGAGCCTAAACCATTGTTCCCTGCCTGCTGTACAGCTGGTGTCCCTGGCAGGACCGGGAGGGAAGGTGGAGGTGGAGCAGAACTTCCTCAACAGGAAGCTGAAGACAGTCACAGCCTACTACGGGGAACTAGTGGATGACTAGCTAGCCTCTTAGGTACAAATCTCATCTGTTGTCTCTTTTCTTACTTATTTTGGAATACATTCCATATATACGTCGATGAAGGTTAGACATCCAGGTAATACAATACGCCAAAAAGCAGTTACTCAAGCAACTGGATATGATTTTGGAAACGGTCAGATGTTTCAGCTAGTATCCACTAGCTAGTGTCCACTAGCTTTCGTCAGTGACTGAGACTGAGAGTCATTATATACATGTAGTAGAGGTGGATTCATTCTTCAAACGAACTGACATCTCTCTCATGCAGTTGTTTGTCAGTAAGACACCTGGAGCCTGTTTAGAACTTTAATTCAGCCTGTCACAAGACCGGTTTCGTCTGTGGAACAACATGGAATGCATTCCATGTTGTTGAGCTAAGAAACTTAACCTTTAGTACACTGAAGTAGTCATTTGACTATCAATTCTCTATTGGTTAATATGGGATCCAATGAGACAGCAGGGAGAAGGTTAATTGAAATTGACTCTTTTTTTGTCCAGATGCAGGGAATATCTGTAACATGGTTGAGAAACCACGTATTAGATGATTTAGAAAGGGGAAGTTCATCCATTTTAGTTTGTTTTAACAAGATGGAAGGCAACAGTCCTTCACTGATGATATTAAGTAGGATTAATCACTGACAGTGATGCATTTCTTTTCAGAGTGTGTTGAAGATTTTAGGTATTGATTTTGTATTTTTTTATCTGAGTGGCTAACTGATCAATCTGGAAAATAAAGATTGAAATAAAACTAATTATAAAAAACTTGTAATGTTTTAACTGTGGTGGCTTATACTAATATACAATGTAGAGAGAGATGGATTAATTAGGGGACAGGTATGGAGCAATAGACATAATATAATATTTCTACCATGTTCACCCCAGTACTATATAATGATTGTTAATGCAACTTGGAGACACATCACGCACAACCAATTACCACAACTACAGATTTATTCAGGAATTTCAAAAAGAACATTCCATCCAATGAACTGCCACCCTTGTAGCAAGTTTTAATTAAAAGCAAAAATAATCTGGACATTTCAAACACTTCCCAAAAGTTTAAAATCTATCTATTATAAGCCTCGATACTGTGAGGAATTTGCAACATTCGAATTTCAAGATTCACCAAGAACTGCACTTCATTTCTCCAGATGAGAGGAGGTGCAGGAAGCAACAATATTACCTGACTTAGGAGAGCATGTCGGCATGCTGCACCTGCGCGAAACCCGTAACGTATTCATCATATAAGATTAACACTCTGTAGTTTCCAAATGTTGTGCCGGAAAAAATATTGTCTGCAACAGGCAAAATTCTAATGCAACGTTGACCAAAAATCCAACGAAATCCGTGAAAAATCGGGGGTTTGTGCAGGCGCAGGACGTTCTGCCGACATGCTACTTAGCAGTACTACCTAGATTAGCAAAACTAACTATTATCTATAAATATGAGCTAAAGAAATCTGCTTGCAGTTCTTGCCCATGTACATGTAGATTGTCATTCAATGTGCATTACAAACATGTGATTTCTCAGTAAACTACTCTGAGGATATAACACAACAAAAGCACCCTCTACTGGCTTTAGTATCAGTTCTGCAGTTATAGCATATTCTAACAATATTTTACAAACTGTAAGATCTTCTGCCTATCCTTTATCGAAACCTGTTCCCCACAGATGTTCATGGTTGTTCAGACAAAAGCAGCATCCTACATGTAATACTACTGGTATGTAATAAAGTACTATAATAATTGTAGCACCCTGCAACAAACATAGAATTGAAGAACGAAAATGTGCTTTTCTAGCAGTTACATGTATAATGCAGAAGGTATAAAAATGAAATCGCAACAAAATATTACCTATTTCTCCACATCTATAGTATGTAATTCCACCAGGTCCTGTTGTCATACAGTATTGGTATTTATATTTACCTTCGCAGAAGGAAAACATTGTTTTTGCTCTGTTCTTCCTCTTCTCCAAACAAATAAGGTCAAAATAGCCTGAACCAGACGTCTGTCACCATGGTAACTAGTTACATTTTTATAGCAGGAGGGATTTAGACTCCTATAAACATGTTTGAGTAAGAATTAACAGAGCAGACCAAATGCGAAGGTAAACATTAATATGCGTTTGCTTTGCAAATGTTACCTTAGTATTAAATCATAACAGCTGTGCTACACATGTAGAAAACAATCAACAAGCTGATAGGTATTGCTTTGTGCATCCATAAATGCACGTCATTACACATATCAATTCCAGTGAACTTGTCTTACAGTACAAAAACTACTATATAAATCTATCACTGCAGCCCTTTTCATATTAATTCAATAAGCTGCTATATAAAGTCTTACAAGTGTTTTGAACCCCAGCTGAATTCCATTCATGTTTGACATCATAATGTTTTTTCACCTTATTTAATTAGCTGGTCTGCCTCTATTGTATTGTTGGATACATTTTATCTACTAGTACATGTGCTTTTTTTCTATCATCAAATCTCCTGTCTGAAAATCTTCCAACATTTTCATCATTTTCCAAGGACCAAGCATGATATGTTTTCATTCTGAATTTTCCTCTCAATATTTGCAGTCTCAAGAAATGATGGTTATTTTGTTCCCCTGATTATTCTCATGCAAAAACAGCTTTTTTCCTCCAATAGTTCCCTATCCGAACAAAATATGTTTTCAGTCTATACTGCCTCAGCAAAAACACCATAAACATTTTTGTTTAAAAATAGTGTTTTTCTAGTTGTTGTTTTTACAATTATTATAGTGTTTTGGCATCAGCTGATATATTTGTATCTTTTTTGATTCTGTGGTTATTTTGGTGGGACTAATTTGTCTCCTTTTGTTAAAAAAAATACGAAAACATCCTAGGAAGTCAACTTCTGTCAGCACCATCAGATAGTGGGATTGCATTATAAGCTAGACAGAATTGATAAGTGGAGTTGAAAATTTTCTGTGAAAATTTACAATTATTTCAGGTAAGGCCACACCAATTTGATTTGTTGATTCTCGGATTTTTTCAGAAAAACATGAAGCAACAGGGCGAAAAAATAAAAGAAAATAGGTCTAGGCATGCTAGCCCCAAAAGCTATGATAGGAGTCATGAAGTCAACATACCAGGCTGGTTTGTCATTCAAACAATGCATTTCAAACTTTTAATCAAACCACTACATTGATGGAAAAACTATAACAACTCTGAAGAGAAGGGACTTCCCTCAACTGTTGGGACCAAAATTTGAGCATTTTGGAGTTGATCCAGAGGCTAATTTTTTTTCTTTCGAAACAAAAAAAAAACGAAGTGAGCGAATCCGTGAACCATCAAAGTAAATTGGTGTGGCCTAAAAGTCACTAAAGGAAACTGGACCTGGATCAAAACTAGTCTTCAAAGCCTGGTCTTCTTGTGGTCGAATGTTTGGATGGTGACGTCACAGGCCAGATTCCCGCCTTCTGGCGTGGTTCCCTCGCAGGTGTAGGTCCCGTCCTTGGAGGGGGACATGCTGGCGATCTTCAGCACGTGGCTGTAGCCGTCGGAGCTCATGTCGAAGTCGGCACTGGGCGACATCTGCCGTCCGTTGTGTAGCCATTTCACGTTGTCCACTGCAGAAGTGGGGAACACAACAACGATATTGAATTTCCAACAACCACTGTCGCCTTCCATCGAGATAATTTATGACACTTAAACACTTCGAAACGTAATCTTGCGAGAGTTATGGTTACAGACGTGACCTTATTCACACAAGACTTTACGGAGCAATTGTCCACTGTCTCCGGATGGCTGGATTGTTCTGATATTTATGGCCTTAATGCCTCTTAAAAAGCAGTCCTGTTTAGTGTCCAGTATTCTAACTTTGTCCAAAGAGACGGTATTGCCCAGTGATTCGATGTGGATGTGTTGAAAAACTTCCGTTGACAGCGAGCCGGGGCGTTTGTTTCTAAGAAATCTAGCAGTAACATACCTTCGCCCTTGACCTCCAGGATGACAGGGTGACCCCTGGGAACGCCGGTGGTTGTTTTGGCCGCCCCGTCGTCGTACCCCTTCGGGCTCATGATCTGTTCCACGGACACCTGTCCGCTCCGCTCCATCCCCTCAGAGATACGCACAACGTCCTCAGCTGGGGACAGACACAAGTTTATTATGTTTACCGAAGGAAAACATCTTGTTTTTACTCAATTTCTTCCTCTTCTTCTCCAAACAGTGACCCCTGACTTGACCAATGATATGATTTGTTGATGTCTGTCACCATGGTGACTGGTGTTGGGTTACATAATGTTGCAATTTGGTCATGGTCTGCTCTGTTCCTGTCACCATATACTTGTAGTACATAAATGTGAATGTGTTTAAACATTACGTGTTTGCGTTGCAAATGTTACTTCTCTAGTTCATTTCATTTTTTTCATTTATCAACTTGATAAATGTTAAGACCACACCAATTTAATTTGTTCTCAGCTTTTTTCAGAAAAAATTATGAAGCAAAAGGGAAAAAAAGGAAAAAAAAAAGCAGCAGGTCTAGGCATCCTATTATAGCCCCAAATGCGACGATAGGAGCCATAAAGTCAACACAAAAGGCTGGGTTAATATTTAAACAATGAATTTTGAACTTTTAATCAAACCACTGCATTGATAGATGGAAAAACTGTAACAACTAGGAAGAAAAGGACTTTCCTCAACTGTTAGGGGCAAAATATGAGCATACTTGTGTTGGTTCCGAACCAGAGTCTTTTTTTTTTTTTGCAAATCAGCAAATCAACAAATATGCAAAAGGAAAAAAAAAACAGTGTGGGGAGGAGGAAAGAAGCCTGCAAAGCTTGTACAATGTCTTCCTCCTTGAAACTTAAAAATTATCAGTTATGAAACTAACATATTAATAAATTAACTAAATAAAACCCAGATCTAACAGAACAAAACTGATTCAGATTGGTGTATAAGCAAACGCCATACTAAAACGACAAACTTTCTACCAATCATAGTAAACAAATTAAACATGTGAAATATGAAAGAGACTGGCACCACATTGATACCTACATTCCCACATGACCGACATGACTGGGTTGTTTCCTGGCAGAGTTCCACTGCTGCTCTGTTGGAAGTTGCTGCCCCCCTTTTGATAATGGACTTGCCCATTCATTCCCTCACCAATAGTCACACCTCCAGTACCTGAACCACCGAAGATGTTCGGAAATATTAAGGAAAACAAAGAAGGCAGCATTAATCCTGTTAGTTTATGGGATGAGCAATGATACAATTTGTTATAAAGATGAATAATGGCAGATATTGTACAAGAAAAGGACACAAAGCTAAAGGAAGATTCAGGGTAAAGCAACAGGCCTCTTTAGTTTACCACAATTTGACACAAGAACAAGAAGGCTTCCCAGCGGGAAAAGTTGATAGCTGAGCATATTTGAAAATGGATCTTCAAATATATCACATTATAACATAACATTCTGCACAACCTCTGCAGTTGAGAGTGTAAAAACTCAGTTGCAGAACCATGATGCGATAATGATCGTGAAAGTTCATCTGTGTACTTGGTAGTTACATGTTTAAAGTTAGAACTTAAGATCCAACACAATAAAGTTCTCTTACCTAGAGCTTTCGACCAATCACTCTGGTCTTCCTCAGTAGACTGACCCAGTGAGGCTTGTCACGTGGCTACTTTGAAGTGTGACGTCAACACTGGGTCAAAGGTATCTGGGAGAGGAGAGGGGTGAAAGAGGCTATTGACATCAGGGCCAATCACCCTTCACTCAACCACAACGGGGGCCGACATCCTCTACGGACATCCTTTGACTCAGTGTTGACGTCACACTCCAAAGAAGCCACATGACAAGCCTCTGAGTCACTGGGTCAGTCGACTAAGGAAGACCAGAGTGACTGGTCGAAAGCTCTTGATGTGCTAACGTTGACTTACCCAGGCCACTGCCCTTGGTATAAGAGAACCCATGGCTTCCCTTGCCTGAAGTCGAACCCTGAACCAGGTCCACGTGCTGGTTGGTCACGTTATGGATATGAGACACGTTCGTGACGTTGGTGTTCATGTAACTCTGGTTTGTGGCTGGAAGGGAGGCGCGAATGTTAAGGTTTGATCTACCTCAAGTCTTCTGTTGACACATACATTACGCATGATACAGAAATGATGCTGTTTACAGGGAGAAACACTTTGAAATATAGTGTTGCGCTTGACTAGATATCAGATACACTCACCTAACTCTACAGTAACTTGAAGAAATATAACATACACAACAAGATTGTGGCAAGCCCCTAATTCGTACATACATGTAGTGTTCATGAGTGTGACAGAGATTACAAAATTGTTATACAGAATGTTCATCTCAAGCAGTGACGTTAGAACACTCTAGCCTCCGTAGCAGGCTGATAGAACTGGGGGTTTGGTGGTCTTTGGTTGTTTTCTGATTAGTCCAAGAACGGGGGTAATTCAATCAGGCCAGCTATGTTGTCTATACACAATCAGAAAATAGCACATAAAAGCTCCAAAAGACCCTGAAGACCCCCCCCCCAAAACCCCCAGTTTTTGGCGTGCTATGGAGGCTTAGAACATTCTACGAACAAGTGATTAAAGGTTACACTCATCTAATGGCAGTGAACAAAATTAAGCAGTCCATATTTTCGTGCGCCTATATAATTTACATAATACTGATCAGGTGGGAAAAAAAAAGTCCCAAAAAATAAAATACGTACCGGAGACCTGTTTACCGATGAGCGCCCCTCCCGCTCCCAGCATCCCTCCTGCTCCCACCATCCCGGCCGTTCCCAATGTCCCGGCCGTTCCCAATGTCCCGGCCGTTCCCAATGTCCCGCCCGGTCCCAGTGTCCCGCCCGGTCCAAGCGTCCCGCCCGGTCCAAGCGTCCCGCCCGCGAAGGCAGAATCCCCCTCGTACATCCCAGTCTCCGGCAGTAGCGGCACCTTCTCAGCTGGCATGTCAATCATCACCTGGTTCCCACTACCGTGTCCTGCAGTCGGGGCAAGGCAGGCGGTTTACTACTACTAAAATCGAAGAACCCACATGCCACAGATGAAGTGGGCAAATTCGTCTCCCGCTGCATGCCTCAAAAGAAAAGGTCAAACGGAACAAAACTAGTACCACGTATGTTGTAGAATGTAGTATACCTTAAACATAGACTCTCATATCATCTCTCGGTCATGCATTTGCAATAAACTTTCTCGTTAACATCGTGGGGTCGTGTGTCGTAAGCAGTAGTGTGTTTGGCTCAGACCAAAAGGTCCCTGGTTCAAATCCGTAGGTAAAAATCACCTGCTCCAAGGCTCTGCCCTGGGTGCCAAATTTTGTAGCCTACATGGCAGCTAGCAACAATAGGGAGCCGGTTGTAACTACGGAGGACGGCACCCAGCCTGCCAAGACTCCACGGAACTCCAGTGCAGTATCGACTCATAAATGCCGCAAAAGGCCAGCATGTGCCGGCTTGTCGCATAAATACCAGCTTTGTATTCCTGTCGTTTATCTGCATTTTTTCTGGCCGGATTTTTTTATTTGCCCGCGCGCACTAGTTTGGGTGTCTTCAGATATATTATCCATAAGATTAAGGCAGTGTGGCCTAGTAATGCTGAGGTCACATTTCCAAACCGGGGCCCGGCTGGGCTGTTTCGATTAACGAAAAATCAACACTGTCTTTATATCATGAATATACGCAAATATTTCCCATTACTAACTTTTTGCAACTTTTTTGTGCTTTGTTGTCTTTTAAATCATACTTTTCATTCCATAAGACTGCCCGGCCGGGCCCCGGTTTGGAAATGTGACCTCAGCATAACAGAATGGGTTGAAGTTACCTGTCAGGAGACCAGCGAGAATGGCAGTGCTGCCAGTCCCTCTCAGGCTGTCGCAGAAGACCGAGTAGTCGGCGTCGCTGCGAGACTTCATCAGGTGCAGAATCCGTCGGTTCTTCTCTTCTGTGGTGTTGGCGCTCAGGCAGTAGGCCACCATGTTGTTGGTAAAGACCTGTGTGACACACCGGATATAGGGGTTTTCTTTTAAGTATTTACACAGCCAATAATGTCTCTTACCTTGCTTACGTTTCGATGTCTATCAGACACCTTCCTCTGAGAGCTTTTTACTGGAGTTCTGCTTCTCAAAGTGCCACCTACATCGGCTACATATAGCGGCAAGAAGCAGAACTACAGTCAGAAGCTCTCATCAGGTACAATGTAGGTGTCTGATAGACACCGAAACGTAAACATGGTAAGACAAGATTGGTTGTGTAAAAGAAAACTCCAGACCTATATCCTATACTCTACCAACCTGATGTAACTATTTTCAGATGTATGACACACCATCACACAGACCCATTAATGTTGCTCAATAAAGGGTTAATGTCCTGCCCCAATGTGTACAATGGACTGTCATAAGGCTCAGTCATTTCCTATAACCACCGATTGAACCACTGAGTGGGCGCCAGCGAACGAGGCGGTTTAAGAGGTGGCTATAGGAAATGACCAGGCCTTATGACACCATACACCAAGGAATAGGTGGGTCATTAACGTTATTGTCATATCCGTCTTTGGATATGAAATATTGAGTGCAGTTATTTTGAAATAATGAGGTACCACGTGAGTGTCACAAACTGCAGTTGTAATTTACGCCCATGTTGCAGTGTCGACTGTCATCATGTCATCTACCAAATGTATACAATAGATCAGCAAGACATGCCTTGTTCTTCTGAAGGTACATGCAAGTTGTCTCCGGGTCCATTTTGTCCACCAGGTAGCCCTCATTACGCAGCAACAGTTCCCTCTTGTCATCTGACAGGCCTGAAAGCACAGTTAATACACATTGTAATTACTGGTACTAGTATCAAGATAGAAAAGATGCTTTGGTATGTCACTATACAATAAGGTAATAATTCGTTAGTTGGAATAGTAAATGTCTTATAAAGTCTAAAGCAGGAATGAATGATATTCATTTCACATAGCCTTTTAAAGTTTCCTTTTTTACAAAAGGAATCAAACTGCTAGAAGTGGAGCTGAAAGTGTTCACGAGCGGAGAATGAGATCCATGAATAGTTTCATCAGGTTGGTACGACACTGAGTAAAGAGACTCTTTTTACACACAAAAAAGGTTTTTATTCAGACGATGTTTCGGTGACTGTCTGTCACCTTCCTCAGGGCAATTCTAACTGGCATCTATAGCAGCGACACCTGTGCTGCAGTGCAATGTGAACCAGTCAGAATTGGCCTGACGAAGTTGACAGACAGTCACCGAAACATCGTCTGAATAAAAGACTTGGTTGTGTAAAAAGAGTCTCTAAAAAGAGTTTACCTGGTCCCTCCAATGTGTCTGCCAGCCAGCCTAGCCTCTCCTCCTTCCTCAGAGCTGTGCAGTACTCGTCAAATGCATCGTCCCCTCCCAACTTCAGGTCATTCAGCAGCTTCTTGCTGTGGCCCTCCCGGGTACGCTGTCTGTAAACAAAACACACCTATATGTTATTTCAATCGAACTTTACTTTCAATCGAACTTTACTTTATGACTTTACAACATTGTCTACCAGATACCTTTGACCCAGTGTTGACGTTACACTTAAAGAAGCCACGTGGCAAGCCTCACTCGGTCAGTCTACTGAGGAAGACCAGAGTGTACTGGTCGATATCTCTAGAGAGAACTCAATTGTGTTGGATCTAAAGTTTTAACTTTAAACATGATAAGAAATAGTTTGCCTTACTGGGATATGGCCTGCACCATGTGGGGAGGCAGGACGTTGGTGGAGGCCAGGTGGGCCGTGATCCTGTCGGGGTGCTGCACGTACTCCACGATGTCTGTCCGGTACAGCTGCAGCATGTTCTGATGGTCACGCCTCATTGCTGCAAACAGAAATACGGATCCTTAATTGACAGTACCCTGGATGCCAAACTCGTTTCAGGCCGCTAGCAATTCCCTTCGGCAGCCAAGAGCCCTTCGCCCGCGGGTCTAAATTACCGCTACGGGGAGACTAGCACGGGCGGAGTTTGGCTGGCCCTTTCAGGGCCGGAGAAACCCCTCAGGCTCAACTCCCCCGTAGCGGTAATTTAGATAGGCGGGCGAAGGGCTCTTGGCTGACGAAAATGGCTAACGGCCCGATACTAGATCATACTAGTTTGGCATCCAGGGTATATTTACAGGGGGACACAATAGGAATGGTCTATTTTTAATACAAAATACAAGTACACATCGAACAAAACATACAGTAGCAGCCATTATCAGCTGAAATGATGTATGATTTACAGTACATTGCTAAAAAGCTCCACTTGGTAAGACTTAACGTAGCATTAAGCGATAACCACAGAAGACAACTGTTTAAAATCTAAGCTAAACATTAAAATCAAAGATAAACATTAATCTTAATTCCAACGTTATAAATCATATTCTCTAAGAAACACATGTCATGCATAAACATATGTATGAATATACATGTGTTACCCAAGGACCGTCATGAGCTGTTCGGCGAGTGCGCTACTTATTTGTCCACTAATTATAAGATCCACTAAGAACAATATGCACATTATTTAATGTTTATAGGGACAGCATATTCTGATGGTCTACAGACATGGATTTGAGTATATCGTTACATGCAATGATTCCCACAGAGTTGTACAGTCGAAAATTTGGGTGAGTCCATTTTTTTGTGTTGGAAATTACAGTTCAATCTGACTCGTTCTTATGACTACTTTGATATTAGAAAAACAGAGCCTTCGGCTTGTAACCAAGAAGTCCCGAGTTCGAATCCTGCCATACCACACGAATTTCCTCACTTTACCGAGGTGAAAATGAGTATGTCTGTTGTCCGTTCATGCGTTTGTCTGCGTTGGTGGCAGCATGAAAATGAGTGTGCCGTTGCCATGTCTTGTAATAAATGTTGGAATAGAAAAAAATATTGTTGATTGTACGTAACATCACACAATATGTGTGCACAGAGTACGACAATGGGGTTGAGTATAACTGGTAGGAAAAACGTACGTGCGTGGAAGCCTGGTTTGGTGCCGTGTTTACTAGTTTTCCCCCGTGAGCCGAAGCAGGTACAGCATGGGCAGTACTTCGCACACAGGCCCAGGTACCAACAGCAACAACAGCACTGTATGTGGCAGAACGGTAAATGCTCATGGTGACTCTCTTCCTATTATACTAAAAGAACCCAGATGTTATAGAAGAAATGAGTACATTCGTCTCCCATAGCTTCAAAAAAAGAAGTCAACCCTAACAAAACTAGTACAAGAGCCTCGGAGGACGTGATCCTTTCTTTTTTTGAAAACAGGAGAACATGTTACAACTGAGTGGAGCTAATCATGAGTTTCGGTATTTTTTCTAACAACAAAATCAATGCCCACACGGATGTCATCCATAAAATTAAGTCGGTGTGGCCTCATGCTACTCGTACTACAAACATACCTTTTCATCTGTTCACCTGTACTTTCACCGTGGTACTTTAACAGCCCGATAGTGCACGAATGTGCAATAAAGGTTATCTGTTAACGCGATACTTACGCAGAGGAGCAGCAGCAGCAGGAGTAAGAGGAGGAGGGGGATGAGCCAGGCCAGGTACCACAGACCCGACCCGCCTGTTCCTCCGCCCTGTGCGCCCGTTCCTCCCCCGTTCACTGCACCTCCGCCTCCGCCCGTCCGGGTGGCTCCCACCAACTCGCCGTACGGGCCCTTGACATGAGCGGTCTCAGCGCGCACCTGTAGACACAGAAGAGAAGGGCATTCATCAGAAAAGTGGATAGAACATAATCTCCAAGCAGATTCGGTGGGGCAAGGGGACTTTATATTGGTCAGTCCTGTATCCGTTGGCCGCCTGTATCCAACGTTCGCCCCACGAATCTGCCACAAAACGGAAGACTT